AAATGAAACACGCGACTGGTAAATTAGCACTGTCAGTCTCATTATTTGTTCGACAGTTTTTTTTTTTCTTCTTTCCTTAGTTCATTCATCCTTTGCGCTCCATTTGTTATCGCTACAGAGACTCAAAGCGCGTAAGAGCGCTAAGAAATGTTTGTGATTCACGACGAAGGCAAAGGAAACCTTAACAGATTCGGGTGAGATGTACTCGTAGCGGAGCTGTACAGGCGGTGACGGAGCTCGTTCATGACCTCTCATCATGCATGCCACTGCTCGCGGTGCGAATACCGAGCACAGAGCACTATTGGTAACTTTTCCACCACTACACATGCTCAGACAATCGGTTGGAACACGCGAACGAATGCAACATTCCCGGTGATCGCGGCCATCATCCGCACACCGCAGAAGATCTGCAAATATACCGTTTGAACTAGTTACACCATAACAGGATGTTGGTGATTTCTAAAAACAATTATATCAATTAGTAAAAAGAAAAAAAGACTTTTTTTCATGGTAGAGGCGTTGCAGTTGTTCTGGGAGATGTTGAATTAAAAAAAAGGCTGAAGCGATTTATAAGTTTTCTAGAGAAAACTTTGGCCCACACAAGAGTGGGAAGCTGTTCCTTTTGTTCTGGTGTCTATGCAGAAGGAAAAAAATGAGAAAAATCGAGACAAAGCACCTTTTTGATGCTGAGCAAAAAAAGCCAGGAGTGACATTGTCTTTCGTGAAGCCAAATTCGACTCGAGATTTACCTAATATGGTTTGACTGTACTGAATTCATCGAATCGTGGCACCATGTGGTTTGGGAATGCGACAATAATATCGTGTTAAAGTAGGCTATAACTATCCAAATTAATATTTCTCGTTGATTGTAACAAAATGCTTACCCTCTGCAAAAGCAGAGCAATCGCCATCAACTTCTGGAATGACAGAACAGGCCCCCAAGCATTTCTCGGATATCTTCGCTTCGACGCAACACTGCAAAAAGATCTTTTATTACGATTAATAATACTGGGCAATAGAAGCAGTTGGAATCTTCATTCATTTCATTCACAGTAATGATTCTAGAAAGCTGCTGGCTCGACGGCACCTGTTCATAGTTGCATTAAAAAGGCAAAACCTGTAGTACGAAACGAGGTGTGAGTGGCAGGGCAGCCTTAGCTATATTCAACTCAGCTTCTTTCCAAACTTCCACACCATTTGCACCAGTTGCTTTGCAGCTATACACACCATCACGATTCGTCACATTCTTCACCTGAACACCTGTGACATATATTGCAATAAACCAGCAATGAATTTGAAAGAAATTAAAAAGAAATATTATAATTTTTTGAAGAGTAGTCTACAAAGTACTAGATGCAATTAAACCAGTTGCAAGAATTTTCAGTACTTTTCTTTCCCCTCGTTCCGTCTAACAGGTGCACCCTTAG